AGGTAGAAGAGGAAACACTCTAGACCACCAACGCCCAGAAGACTGGTGGGATTATGGATTAAAGTGGTGGTGTGATTTTCGATCATTGAATTCTAGATTTGAGTGACGGAATCGACACGTGTGATCATCAAGGATTTAATGAAATTTGATCGGAAAACAAATACGGTCTCGATTGTTCTATTTGTGCTGAAATATGAGTATTTTCCTTGTCTCGAGAATTAGTTTTCGGGATTCGTTGTTTCCAACCATCCTGTGGTGTTGGGTCCTCGTTTCGAAGAGACGGTCCCCGCGTTCTCCTCCTCTCCTCCTCCTCCTCCCCTTCCTTCCTACCGTCCGCATGCGGCCCGCACACCCAGTACAGCGCTTCGTTGCCCCATGGGGAGCCCACCGAAGGTCCCAGTGCTACCGTCCGCATGCGTCCCGCACACCCAGTACAGCGCTTCGTGGCCCCATAGGGAGCTCCACCGAAGGCCCGAGTGCCACCGCCCGAATGCGTCACGCACACCCAGTACAGCGTTTCGTGGCCCTCCTCCCCCACCTCCCTGCGTTTCACCCACCCAGTACAGCGTTTCGCAGCCCCATAGGGAGCCCCACCGAAGGTCCCAGTGCTACCATCCGCATGCGTCCCGCACACCCAGCACAGCGTTTCGTGGCCCCATGGGGAGCCCCACCGAAGGTCCAGCGCTTCGTGGCCCCATAGGGAGCTCCACCGAAGGTCCCAGTGCTACCGTCCGCATGCGTCCCGCACACCCAGTACAACGTTTCGTGGCCCTCCTCCCCTTCCTCCCTGCGTTTCACCCACCCAGTACAGCGCTTCGTGGCCCCATAGGGAGCCCCACCGAAGGTTCCAGTGCTACCGGCCGCATGCGTCCCGCACGCCCAGTGCAGCGCTTCGTGGCCCCATAGGGAGCCCCACCGAAGGTCCCAGCGTTACCGTCCGCATGCGTTCCGCACACTCAGTACAGCGCTTCGTGGCCCCATAGGGAGCTCCACCGAAGGCCCCAGTGCCCCCGTCCGCATGCGTCCAGGAAGCCCAATGTGGCATTTTCACCCACCCAGTGCATTGTTTCGTGGCCCCATAGGGGGCTCCACCCAAGGCCCCAGTGCCACCGTCCGCATGCGTTCGGGAAGTGTAATTTGGCATTTGCACCCGCGCAATGCAGCGTTTGGTGGCCCCATAGGGGGCTCCACCGAAGAACCCAGCGGGACCGTCCGCATGCGTCCCAGAAACCCAATTTGGCATTTTCACTCACTCAGTAGAGCGCTTCGTGGCCCCATAGGGAGCTCCACCGAAGCCCTCAGTGGGACCGCCCGCATGCGTCCCCGAAACCCAATTCGGCACACCACCCACACAGTCAAGCGTTCCCCCCCGCCCAGTGCAGCGCTTCGTGGCCCCATAGGGAGCTTCACCGAAGCAGGTATTCACAGTTACAGTACCCACAACTGCATATGGTTGGGACCTTCGCCAGGATAATTTTGACGGTTCTTCGAATTTCAAGTAGCCGCCGATTTTCTGGAGATCTTCGCCCGTGTTCCACAGCGGATTTTCGGCAGCCTTGGTCGAAGGTTGTAAGTTTTGCGATTCACTTCATTCTAAAGTGCTAGATCTCTAAGTGAAGGCTTTCAATCCAAACTACGCATCCTACAAAAGATAACAGTGGGACAGGGGCACAGGAAAAATTACCTTGGCGAAGGCCCCAACAATATGCAGTTGGAAATACCGTCGTTGTACGCACCGCATTCAGAGGAGCTTATAGAACCACGAAGCGTGTGAGGGGTGTGCCAAACTTTGTCCTGTGGGCGCATGCGAAAGCCACTGGGGCCGTCAGAGGACTTCCGTATGGGGCAACGAAACGCGTAAGAGGTGTCTGAAAATTGGTGCCGTGGACGCATGCGAAAGCAGCCATTGGAGCCTTCGGTGGAAGCTCGGTATGGTGCCGCGAAACGTGTTATGCGTGTGCCGAAATGCGCGCGGTGGGCGCATGCGAACGCAGCCACGGTGGAGCTCCTTATAGAGCCACGAAACACGTGCGGGTGTGTGCCGAATTGTGTGTGTGTGTGTGCGTGTGCGTGTGCGTGTGTGTGTCTGTGTCTGTGTCTGTGTCTGTGTCTGTGTGTCTGTGTCTGTGTCTGTGTCTGTGTGTCTGTGTCTGTGTGTCTGTGTCTGTGTGTCTGTGTCTGTGTCTGTGTGTCTGTGTCTGTGTGTCTGTGTCTGTCTGTCTGTCTGTGTGTCTGTGTGTGTCTGTGTGTCTGTGTCTGTGTGTCTGTGTCTGTGTTTCTGTCTCTTTCTGTGTGTCTGTGTCTGTGTGTCTGTGTGTCTGTGTGTCTGTGTGTCTGTGTGTCTGTGTGTCTGTGTCTGTGTCTGTGTGTCTGTGTGTGTGTCTGTGTCTCTGTGTCTCTGTGTCTCTGTGTCTCTGTGTCTCTGTGTCTCTGTGTCTCTGTGTCTCTGTGTCTCTGTGTCTCTGTGTCTCTGTGTCTCTGTGTCTCTGTGTCTCTGTGT